GGGTTTCTTCTTCCCTCAATTCCTACCCCTCACTCCAGAGTTGCCAATCTGCTTCCTTCTGAAGAGTTGGGTAGCTATTCCCATTTTACCAGTTGGGATGGGGGTGCAGGGACAAAGCTGGAAAAAGTTGCAGATTCATGGCCTCTTATCCTCCCGGACTGGGTCATTGGATCTATTCAATCTATTGAACAGGAGGCAAAAATATGGCTAATGACTTAAGAAATGATAATATCCAACACTCACTGAATGCTAGGCATTTCCATAGTACAGATGAGAAAACCAAGGAGATGAAGGGATTTATCCCAAGTTGCACAAGAAATACAGGGTTCAACACTGTTTAAAGCCAGGGCATCTCCAGGATTCGAGGCAGAATTACTACAGACCCTTGTGAGTGTGGTGCCTGCTGCAGCCACACTCCGTGCTACTTGTTTTTCTGCTAAGGCTTCTCACCTAGTCCTCACCAGCAGCAACCCTGTGAGCTGCCCGCTAGGATGCCTCTTCTGAAAGAGGTTACCGAGGCCCAGCTGGATGGCAAATGGCAAGAAGTAGGGCGTGGATTTGAATCTAGAGCTAGAGAAGGAATGGAACAACGCTCACACCTGAGGCGCGGAAAAACCGCTGGAAGTCTCCATGGCCTGGCCCATCCCTCTCCAGGTTTGTGGGGCCGACAAGTGGCACCTTAGGTGGCTACTGCGATTTTTTCTCGCCCTCTCCCCCGCAACCCGGCCACCGGCCAGAGGCATCCTCATTGTGGGCTTCTTCCAGGGTCCCGGGTCGAATTAGGCTCCTCCTCCCACAGCAGATCTCAGGCCAGCCTCCTTCTGTCTGCGCTTCGACTTCTTCATCTGTAAAATGGGAAGCCAATGAAAGTTTGGGCTTCAGGCAGCCTTGCGCAATCTGCAGAGCACTTTGGCAAAGGACCCTTTTCTCCAGCCCCGGCTGGAGCCCAGGTCGGGATCTCAGCGGGCGGGGGCCCAGGAAAACCGGTTTCAGCATCCAGAACTTTTAAAGCATGGGATTTGTACCTCCCTCTCCCTCACCAACAACTTCAAGCAGCAACCCTGAATGCAAGTTACCCCTCTTCCCGCTCTGTAACTGAAAGTGATCTCTTAAATGCCTGGAAACACACTTCCCACGGCACAGGTAAGACACGAGCTCAGAGAGGATCAGCCTTTTCCCGAGGTCACACAGCAATTGCCTGGGAGAGTGGGGGCGACGGGGGAGACGCACTGTGGAATTCCAGGCGGACATTGGCGCCCGCTTGTCTGTCTGCTTCTGATACCGGGTTCGGAAGAATAGGCAGCTAACGAGAGGCCCATTAGGAGGAATTGTCACTCCTCTGGGAGCGAGGTTGTCCCATTAGGGCGAATTGTCATTCCTCCTGGAGCGAGGTTGTCCCGGCTCCGTGCAGGCTGAGTGCCGGGGCCGAGAGCAATTAACGCGGCTCCGGCGCGGGCAGCCGCCTCTGCCCCGGGCAGCGGGGGCGGGGCGGGGCGGGGGCGGGGCGCCCGGCGCGGCTGGAGCCGGTCACCCGGCGCAGCCCCTTCCCCTGGAGCCCGCCTTTCATCTCCCCGCGCCTGGCGCCTGCCCGCAGCCCTGGCCTGTCTACAGCCCCCCTCCTCCACCCCTCCCCCGCCCCCGCCCTGCCGCGGGGATCCAGCGATCGGTCCTGGGGCTTGCAAACGCTAGGGTCCGTGCCCGGCCCTCCAGAGTCTGCAAGTAGTGTTTTTGCATTGGGACCTGCGGTGCGCGTGCGCGGCTGCTCGGTGCAGGGCCCTGGAACAAGCGAAATCCCCGCGGGAACGCATAACTGCGTAAGGATGAGGGTCTGTGAGGTGCGGCCACGTGCTGCGCGTGGGGATCCCGGGTCCTCCACTTCCAACCTGCGTCACTTTGGGTAGCATACTCAGTGCTTCCTAGCCTTAGGCTTTTCCCTGTAAAATGGGGAAAATAATATCCGCCCGGAGCAGTGTGTTGGAAGAAACAAATGAGATCCTGGGGGGACAGGTACTATAATGTATCTTTCAGAGATGACGTTTCGCGCTGGGGTTCCATCTGAAACCCCACTGTTCTTCCTACAAGCACTGCAGCTACGTCAACGTCACTGGGAGCAAACCTTAGTAAGTCTTCCCCTAAGCGCCAAAGTCAGTCCTCAGCCAAGGGACGACACCTCCACCGCGCACTTTTAAGGCTGCGCAAAATTCTCAGCCCCGGAGATTTTAGGAAGAACCTATCGTGAACTCCGTGAAGGCTGGCGAAGAGTCTCATTTTGGATATCCAGCAGAGAGAAAGCTTGTAATACACTGCTCCTGCTTTTGATATATAGTATTTTTTTTAATTGATCCTCTACACCTAGTTACTTTCCGTAGCCTATTGAATTTAATTACTACAAGAGCCATGCCAGGTAAGGATTATTATCTCTCATTTTAGAAATAAAAAAGCAGTTTGAGAGAGGCAAAGTAACGCGACTAAGGTCCCGCGGCCAGGAAGAGGTGAATAAAATGTCCAGAAAACACAGCCAGCGCAAAAGCAAATGCACAGATGAGGCTTTCCATAAAGGGCTAGGGTTCTGTTGAGGGTCGACCTTTTTTCCAGCAGAACTGAGACCCTTTCCTGAATTTTCCCACCAGAGCAGGGAGCTGGGAATGGAGAAGGTAGAGGAAAAGGTGGGCAGGCTGATTGCCCTCTGGGCATCTCTCCTGCTCATTTTATAGCCAGAGCTTGGCACCCCTGTTTTGAACACCACTTTGTTTGTTTTGTCTCTACTATTTTTCTCCTTCTAGCTTCTGAATTTTCTTTCTCTATCTGGACGTCGGGACCTGAAAGTAGTGAGGGGGAACCTGGCTTTTCCTGTCCCAGAACAGTTCATTAAAACAAAACAAAAAAAGCTCTAGTAGTATGTATTTTTAAAAATTTCCCAGGAATGAGCCTGTGTGCCCCTAAACTAGCAAATATTAACAGTGAGTTTTCAGGAACAATTATAAAACAGCAGCTGGGTACAGCCCAACTGAAAGCTGAACCCTTTTGTACACTTTGGCAGCTTAAGGCTAAACGAATTTTAGGTTTGCTTCCAAAATATATAGCCTGCACCATGCTGGGTACCTCAGAAGGCACAGGGCTTAATCTGGATTTACCTGTACTGTATTTGAGATGCATATCAAGCCAACTATCATCAAGTATGACTCAAGGGGAAAATGCATGCATCTCCAGATAGTTTAATTTTTTTTTTTTTTAACTTTCTCTGAGCTTCCAAGTTGTTGGGGGTTGGGGGTGGGGTATGTGCTTGGTGGGAGAGAGACCCAGAGGTTTTAGAAGACTGTGTTTAGAACTTCTTCATTTTTTAACTTTTTCAGAACCATTTCTAATCAAACTGAATTAATTGGGCAGTGCAGACCGTTTTTACCCCCTAAGATTCAGATCATGCCTATTCAGGGTATCCTCAACCCGCAGAGTTTCACTCCACGCAGGAGTTTAGGGTGAAGGAAAGAGTGCATCATGGTGATCAGTCCGGGGGTCAAGTTTCTAAGACTCTTGAACTGGGAGGTAGCCTCCAAGCCTTTATCATTTCAGTAATTAAAAACAATGTCCCTTCCTTCCAAGGCTCTGGGAACTGTTTAGTAAGCATCTGCTGTGTGCGAGGCCGAACTCGGAGACTTCTATTTATCTCATCGTTCAGGGTTAATCGTTGAGATATACAGGAGAGCAGATGCAGCCTGGACAGGGTCATTTGAAGCACTTTGGTCTTGGCCTGGCGGCCTGCGGAGAGATCCAAGGCCTCTGCGCACCCGTAGCTCCCTCTCCCCTGTCCCTGGGCTGGTACAGTCATCACTAAGGCTTTGAGATGTAATTACCCAGGGTATAATTTGGGGCGGGGTGGGGATATCTATGCCTTTTTTTTTTTTTTTTCTTTTTAAACCAGGTGCAATGAATAAAAATGTGCTTCTCAAAAGTGTACACAGGCCTTGGGTGTGCAAACTCAGAACCCGGTATTTCTGAGATTTGTAAGAGAAAGGGAAGCACTAGGTATTACCGGCGCCTTTTCCTTCCTCCTCCCCCTTGAAGGCAAACACTGGCACCCAAACACCTGACAAACATAGGCTCAAACAAACGCAGGAACACACAATACACGTAGTCCTGAGAAAAAGGTCGGATCCGGGTGTCGCCCAGAGAGGAGATTTAAGGGAAAGAAAACACGCGGATTGGTTTTTCTAAGAGTACGCTGGTTTTGTTTCGAGTGTTAGGGATGGGGGCCACTGCTTTAAATCTTCCAGTCGGAACTCTGAAAGACCAGCCCCTCCTGACCACCTCTTGGGCACTCTCCGTCCCTTCTTCTTCTAGGGGTAATAGCTTTCCTTGTGGAACTTTTGCCAGCGGCCGAACAAATACTCTTATAAGCTTCATGAATGTGTTACTGCTTTTAGCAGGGATGCTGGCCCGCGTTTTCAGTGCTGACTCCTAAGTTGTAAAGTCAGCCCAGTTTCCACGTATAGTAGAAGCTTCACAAATGTTTTATGCAACGTCAGTTGCAGATTTTAAACGTGTTCTGGCGATGGGGGTTGGGGGAAGTGGGATGGGCGCGAGGTGCCTTTTTAAAAAGGGGTCAAAAGAGAGAAGAAATGGGACTCGGCGAACTTCCTCTTTAAATAATCGGCCTTAATTACGCCATGGACTTTTCAGTTTTGGCGTGATTATAACCCTTGAGGGATCGCCTAATAACAACTCTGCTGACTGCTCCTGTAATTAACTCCTAATTTATTTCAAACAGGAAAAAAAAAAAAAAAAGGCCCCAGCCTCTTCCAGGAGAGCCAATCAGAGACGAGCGTCTGTGGCGTCAGCGCCAGAGCCGGCGCCGATTGGCTGAGCCGAGTCTCCCACTTCCCCTTGGAGGAAAGGCACGGCTCCCGGCGCGCCCCTCCCGGCTCCCCCCCAAAAAGTTTGAGTCGCTGCTGCCGGGTTGCCAGCGGAGTCGTGCGCGGGGAGCTACGTAGGGCAGAGAAGTCATGGCTTCTCCGTCCAAAGGCAATGACCTGTTTTCGTCTGATGAGGAGGGCCCGGCAATGGTGGCTGGGCCGGGCCCGGGGCCCGGAGGAGCCGAGGGGGCCGCCGAGGAGCACCGCGTCAAGGTCTCCAGCCTGCCCTTCAGCGTGGAGGCGCTCATGTCGGACAAGAAGCCGCCCAAGGAGGCGTCCCCACTGCCAGCCGAAAGCGCCTCCGCCGGGGCCACCCTGCGGCCACTGCTGCTGCCCGGACACGGCGCCCGGGAAGCTCACAGCCCCGGGCCGCTGGTCAAGCCCTTTGAGACCGCTTCGGTCAAGTCGGAAAACTCAGAAGACGGAGCCGCGTGGATGCAGGAACCCGGCAGATACTCGCCGCCGCCAAGTGAGTGAGCGTCCGGGCCGGACAAGGGGCAAGCGGGTCCGCGGATTTCTGGAGAGAGCTAGGGGGCCGGTATTCCAGGCCGGGGGGTACGGACACCCCTCTGCACTCTGCTCCCGGGAGAGCAAGCCGGCGATTCGTGGCTTGATGTCCCCAGCGTTGCGCGAGCCGGCGGGAGCCAAGACACCCTCTGGGTCAGGTCCGCGCAGCGCCTGTTCGGGATCCCCTAGCCGTGCAAAGTGTCCGACACAGTGGAGGACTCGCCGGTCTCCGAAGGGCGAAGCCCAGCTGGGTTTGCCGGGTCGCTCGGTTACCGGCTTCTCTAGCCCTCAGCCCCGCGCTCCACCCACTTTGCTTATTTTTGTCTTGCCGTCCTGCGGGTTTCTGTCTGGAGAGTGAAGAGGGATCCACTTTTAATGAGCACTCGAATATACGCCATGCAGAGTCGGAGGTGCCTTACCTCCTTTCAGAGTTCACAGCCCAGCGAGATGGGCCCTCTTACAGATAAGACTAACTGAATTCTAACCCCCGGTATTGGGTAGAAATCATCATCTTCCCTGGGTCCCGCGGGTTTCCGGGGGAAACCCATGAAGGGATGGGGGCAGAGACTGAGGCCAGGAGGAACTGTCTCCCTGTCGTCCTGGCAGCCAGCATCTTCGCCCAGAGCGGGCTTCGTCAGAGGGTCAGAAGAGAGCGCCGGCTCCCTCAGCTCATAGTAATAATTAACAGCATTCCAACAGCGCTTGAGAGTTTACAAAATGATGCTCCTTAGTTCACCAGATCCTAATATCACTGGAACCCTCAAGTGTAGGCAGAAGCACAGGAGAAGTGGTTATTCCTTATGCAGACACCTGGACTTGAAGAGGACTGAACTTGCTTGACCCAGGTCACCATAATGGCTGAATTGGGCAAGGGGCCCTGGTGTCCAAGCTCTGCTCCTCTCTAGGCTGTCCTGACCATCTTTGATCCCTATCCCCAGAGAAACCAAGCAGAGGTCCCCACACCAGCACCCCGCTTCCTGCCAATGAAGCAGGATGGCATGCAGGCCTAGGAGAATTGATTCTCTTCCAGCTTTAGCACTTATTTTGGGGCCTGGGTGTGCAATTTGGAGAAATTATTACCTATGGCCCCTTTTATTTCTGTTTCTATCTCCTGGCCTTTAAGATTTCTCTACCCCCACTGCACCTATAGAAAACGTGTGAAAGAAGAGTCTGCCCAGGGACTTTTACCAAAGCTGGGAGACCCACACACCTTCCTTCATTTTCTTGGGTCAGCCCTCAAGACTGAGCTGCATAGTATTTGGTGAACAAAACAAGGCCATATACCCCAGGGGCAATCGCTGTCCCCTCAGGCATAGCTCTCCACCCTGTTAGAAACTCGAAAAGATTCAAAGGGTGTGGAGATTAAGGACTCAAAGAATTTAAACTCAAGTTTGCACAGTGCTTTATAGCACTTTTCACCATATTATCTTATCTGATCTCCTGTGGCAGCAGCTGGCCTCCTGGTAACAGACTAGGACGTTTCAGAAGAGTTCAGAGGAATCAGCACACACTGAGTTTGGGCTTGATGAACATTCCCCCCCCACCCCCAGAACAAAAACAAAAACACCTTGGCAATATTTAATGATCACCTGTCTGATGGTAGACAGGGCTCTGGGTATTCTAAAATATAGTACTCTGAACCACACAGCACAGTATTACCCATTTTATTGATGGTGAAATAGAGGCTCAGAAACTTTAAGGAACTTAATTTGTTGGACAAATACTGAGTGCACATGTGTTTCTAGGCCTGGGTCAGTATTTGTCCATGATGTGCCCATCAGCACATCAAGGATTCGGGTCTTTCAGGGAGCAGTGTCCAGAGGTCAGAAATCCCCACTTCCCTAGGCTTTCGGGTTGTGGGATGGCAATTCCCCTCTTGCTCTGTAAACCACTCTCCTCCCCCCACAGTGAGGATGAACTTGGGGAGGTGCTTGGGGGGCCCTGGGTTTGACCTTCCCATGATAAAAATCCAAGATTCTGGAGAAGGGATTTAGTTTTAAAACAAAAAGTGGTTCATTAGCTCTTTGGGCCTAGAAAGGGCAGCAGAAGCCCTGTGGTTAGAATGGTGGGTCCAAGGAGCACCTAGCACCAGAGCCTGGGGCAGGAGGGAGCCACTTGTCTGGCCGGGTTTGTTATTTGGAGGAAGCTGTTTTGCTTTGTATAATCGCATCCATTCTTTGACTGATTTAAAATGGTTGCGGGGGTGGGGGGACGGTGAGGAGTGTTGAGATGAAGCCTCTTAGCTTTATGGCTTTGATATTTTGGGTAATCTCTGTAGCCTGGGTTTCCTAGTTCACATGCACCCTCTAGGAGCAGCCGGGATGACCGTTCAGGGCACAGAGTTCCTGCAAACATCGAGCAGGAGGATCCAGTGTAGACACTAGGAGCTTGGTCTGTGCCTTGAAACAGCACGCTAGGTCTCGTTAGTGAAGGGTGGAAGCAGGTCTCCGGGAGTCGTCAACAGACAGGGTTGTTACTTTATGTGTAAATCAAGAAGTAGGTTCCCAAGCTCTCTGGCTTATTTAGGGATTAGCATATGCAAAAGTCTAGACTTCTGTGCACCCCATCCCTCTCTCAGGTTTCTGTTTTTGATCGTCTCCTAGAAGGTACTACCTCTTAACTTTTTAGTCACTACAGTGATGGTTAATAATGTCACACTAGGAGGAATCTCTTTTCTTGTTGGAAATGGAGACTGGGTGGGACTTACTGTGTCACCCTCAAGTATGAAGTGTAAACTCTTTCTTGGGCCGTCGAAGTAACTAAACAAGAAATGCGACATTCTCCCCACGAGTACTGCGGAGTTACTATTGTGGCTGCTTTTGGAAAATTAGTGTAGCTCATAAAAGCCAAATGTAAAAAATTAATTGTTGAGCCTTCTATCCCACAGCTCTGCATTCCTGCCCCTGCCTCCCTTTGAGGAAAAGAAGCCCCTGAGTTAGTTGATGTTGTGGAATCAGAAGGATGCCCAGTCCTATGACTTCCTCTCACCGAATCCATTTCAAATATGGGGTCTGCAAGCGGTTGGCATACCTCTATTTTGCTTGTTATTCCCTCTTTCTAAATTCTGGTGACAAACTAATCATTTACACATTTGCTCTAAACCAGAGAATGGTTAGCGATGACTAAAATGTCATCACATGCTCTCAGCTCCAAGGCAGCTTGATTTCCCCTGACATTTACATTTCTGAGCAAGCTGATTTTGTCCTCCTTCTTAGTAAACTTTATATTACAGAAGCACCCGGCCAAGAAACTTCTCCCACATCCAGATCTGTAAAATGATGTTCAGGTTTTAGAATCTGTAGACTGGATGGGATGACAGCTGTGCAGTTGTTTATTGCATGGGGCTGCTCCCGATCAGGAGATGCTATTAATGTACCACAGACCTTTATCTGCACGATTGTCCTTCATAAATATGCTGGCGCACTCCAACTTTTCCTGATGCGCAGAGGGGACTGACCCAGTTTAATAGGACCCTTTTTTACTTGTCTTCTTACGGGCTTATCTCAGCATCTTAGAGAAGGGAGGATTGCCAGTTCCCCATTTGAAAGACCAGAGAACTTAAATGGGGTTTTATTTCTCAGAGAATACTCCCAGTGCCCTTGAAGTCGGTTCATAGCTGTTCTAGTTCCATTATCCGTAATGCTGTTGTTTCCCATATGGAAAGTTCCATACACTGCGAAACTCCCAAACATTTTGTAAAAAGACTCAATTTCTTAAATAAAGCCATTTAGCCATTTAAATATGCTCCTCCCGTCCCACCCCCGACCCCACCTCCCCTATGGATTTGACTGAAAGTCCCTTTTTGAAAGCTGAAGAGGGAGGCCCTTGCCAGCACACCTGGGAGAAAGCCACTTCTTTTGCTAATTCCTTCCCTCTCTGTTCTCCAGGACACATGAGCCCCACCACCTGCACCCTGCGCAAGCACAAGACCAACCGGAAGCCTCGGACGCCCTTTACCACGTCCCAGCTCCTCGCTCTGGAGCGCAAGTTCCGCCAGAAACAGTACCTCTCCATTGCAGAGCGGGCAGAGTTCTCCAGCTCTCTGAACCTCACAGAGACCCAGGTCAAAATCTGGTTCCAGAACCGAAGGGCCAAGGCGAAAAGACTGCAGGAGGCCGAACTAGAAAAGCTGAAAATGGCTGCAAAACCTATGCTGCCCTCTGGCTTCAGCCTCCCTTTCCCCATCAACTCACCCCTGCAAGCAGCATCCATATACGGAGCCTCCTACCCTTTCCATAGACCCGTGCTCCCCATCCCGCCCGTCGGACTCTATGCGACTCCAGTCGGATATGGCATGTACCATCTATCCTAAGGAACACCAGCTCCATAGACTCCATGATGGATGTTTGTTTAAGTGGGCCCCCCCTTCAAATGGCAGTACCAAGCCCGTAGGCCTGCTCTGCAAACCTGCATGCATGCGCCACCCTAAGCGGCCTAAGAACTATGGCCACAGCCTTAGTTCGAATTTGTTGTTTAGGCTGGAGGCACCAAGCCCCATTTTCTTGGTGTGATCTTCTACATGCCCCCTTCTCCTTCCACAAAGATTGGCTCTGGTGGTTTTTATATATAAATATATATATAATAAAATATAATGACATTTTTATACAGCAGCCATAAAAATGCAGATTATTTTGAAAGGCAAAATTTATATGCACATATGTATACTTTTTTCTACCTATCACCTTCCTAAAAGAGACTGCCTTAAGTCCAGTTGTTTTTTTCTTATAGGAGAGACCAATGATTTGCAAAAATTGCTGACATTTGGTGATTTTGATGGGATGATTGCCTTTTGCTTATGGAAAACAAAGGTTAGAATTAGACAGGGTACATAGGAAGTAGAGATGGAGAGATTCTTCAAAATGACCAGGACACATCGTGTTTTTTGAATTTTTACATGCATTAAAAAACTCATTAGGTATTACCCTATGTGGCCCTATATTTTTCCTTCTGTCCACATTGTTACAGATTGTTAAAGTTTTAACTTTTTTTTTTTTTTTTTTTTGGTAAGATCAATAAAAGGGGTGATGAGAAGAATCCTGAGAATGCCTTGGGGGTAAGGTGGGACCTGGAAGTACTTCCTAATTCCTCTCAAGGCTGTTGCTTAACTCCATTTCAGATAATTGGAGAGTGAAAAGTTTAAAGCAAGCCTGGGGAATTGATGGTTTCTGTGAAATACTAGGTACAAGTCAGTCCTCACACACTGCAAAGGTGATGGGGGGGCGGGGAGTGTAGTTAATTTTCTGCTTAAAAAAATAAATACATTGTAACCATTACCTATATGCTAAATATTCTTAAACAATGAATAGATCCAGAAAGAAAAAAAAATCATGCTTTCTCTGTGTGTGTACCTATTGTATGTGCTAAACTTATTAGAAAAATTTATATACTTTTTAACATGTTGGGGGCAGAGGGTAAAGCCGTGTTTTGACTTGCTAAAAATGGTGTTGTCAAACAGCCCATTTAGCTCCCTGGTATTTCATCTTTCTTTCCATCTCCCCCCAGCCCCCACCACCCAGTATACTTTTATCCCTTTGAAAGGGTGCCTTGTATAATTTTATATATTTTATTGAAGAGTTATTTCTTATCTCTTATTCTGAATTAAATTAAACATTTGTTTTATTGCAGTAAAGTTTGTCCAAAGACAGTTATTTTAAAGGGGGCTCTCTGTTCGTAGCTGGGTTCAGCTAAAAAAAAAAAAAAAAAAGCCACCAAGACTGGAGGAGGGGGCCAGTGGTTTTTATTATGATATTAGTGTGAATCAATTAAGATTTGTGCCCAGATTCAGCCTGGGGAGTGGATTGAAAATAGCCAACGAAATACTTTGAAACATTTCCTCTGGCAGTTTGTGTTACTCATGGAAAAGAAGTGGAATTGCTATTCCTTTTTCAAACTCTGGTGAAAGATGAGCTTAGAAGAAATGGAGGGGCCGAGGGATCCGGCAGGTTTATAGATGATCAAAGGAAAATCTTGAACTTGAAATCTCCCGGTTAACCAAAACAGCAACAGATTTAAAACTGGGGGAAAGGGACCTATAGCTCTTTGCAAATGGAGATTGTAACTAAATGCATTCCCTGGGGTGGGGGTGGGGGTGGGGGTGGATGCCTGCTGCCCTTTCAGGAGTGTGTCAAATCGCATTCCGTTAACCATTCCTAACTCCTTCCAAGGAGATGGACCCCGAACAAATGCTCTTTTCGGTTTGAAGGGGGAAGGTGGTTCATTCAAGTCCCGTTTGCTTTGCAGCTTTCCTTTCCACTGGGTACAGAACAGGGTCAGACTTGGGTTTTGAGGCATAACCATTAGAAAAAAAAAATCGGCAATGGGTGGGGGAGGCTGAGATGGATCTTAAATTCCACTTTTTATTGCACAAATAAATCCTAAATGGCTACTGATGATGATACCTTTGGGAAGTCTGTTTTCCAATGAGAAGCCCCGGTGACCCTGGGAATGCGGGCAGAAGGGAATGGAGGAGAACTTGCTGCGGAGGCTGAGCGGTGGGGAGATTGGCACCAGACATTTACCGAGGACTGGCACTTTCGTCTCACGTTCTCACTGCACTGACACCCACTTTGGAGGTGGGTGCCAGAAACTCCATTTCCCGGTCGGGTGGAAGCTCCCAGGCGTCAGGCAAGGAGTCTCAGATCTCCCAGCTCCAGCGCGAGCGAGATCCAAGCCCAGGGACTTGCTCCGAAGCTGGGGGCCATTTTTTGCTGCTCCACCACCAATGCACTCGCGAGCTGAGCCCCAGGAGTGTCCCAAACCTCCCCAGTTTTCGCCTTTGCGATCCCGCTGGGCCTCCCTAGCCCCGAACTCCTAATTCCAGTCCGGAATCCAGCCATTCTCATTTATGGGATGCGTTTTCTAAAGGCCAAAGCCCTTCCTGGTTTCGTCATCAGCCACCAAGTTGGGTCCCTAATTAGCCCGTCCACCGAGCTTCCTTCCCGGCGCCGCTCGACCCCACAGCCTCGGGCGATCTCAGCCAGGATGGGGGATCGGGAGACTCCTGCTCCGGGTAAGACAGCTTGCCCCGTGAGGAGGGCTTCGCAAACCAGGGTGCAACTAGGAGAATAGGGGCTGTGACCTGCGTGGCCAGTGGGGTGGATTGGAAACTGTCTGGACGACTGGCATTACCCCAATCGCCTCAAATCCCAAAGGAAAAATGAAGCCTGGAGAGAGAGAGAGAGAGAGAGAGAAAGAAAGAAAGAAAAAAAAAGTGCCTCAGGCTCAAGCATGCACACCCTGGGCACTACTAGGTGGATGGGGTGACCCAAGTGAGAATGAGGCCAGATTGCCGGGACTTAGACCATAGCCACAGGTCCCCAGGCCCCGCTGCGGCGGGCCTGGCTCTGGTGCTCCCTCCAAGACTTCTGTCCGGCTTTTGAGTTGGCCATTGCCAGAGTCCCCACCTTAGTCGGGCTTGGTGTGCCGGGCGTTACAGAAGTTCCAGAGACCGAACCAAACAACCTGGGGCGGCGGGAAGACCAGACTCACCCAGGAACCGCGCAGTCATGCCTGCAGAATGAAAGCCCAAGATGCCAGTAGGCTGCTGACCTTGGACATCCTCGCCCAGGTGGCCAGTAGCCTGGCACACCCATCTGCGCGTCCTCCCATAAGTTCAAGGCTTTCCACCAAACTTTTCTAGAAAGACAGCACTGCTTTAGGGAAAGAGGGGAAGAAAGGAGAAGAAATCACATTTCTTTGATTTGAAGTAGGCATTTTCTCGAACGTCTCATTTAATCCTTGCATACCCCTGGGGGACATGTCATTGATGCCATCTTATAGTCCCGGAAACTGAGTCTCAGAGGGGTTGCTCAGGAGGGTCACAGAGCCAGTAAGGGGCAGCAGCAAAATTCAGGCCTAAGCGGGAGCCTGGTGGGGGGCATGAGGGCTGGCAAGCCCTGGGGGAGCTGTCTTAGACGTGATGTAGGGGTCTCTAGAGCTCCCCAGATTCCCAAACCCTGAGAGCCCATCTCTGCAGCATCTCTCTGCATCCCCTTCCCCACCTCACTTGGACGAAGTGGAGGGGGGAGCCTTGCCACTGAGTGCCTGCTTCTCCATCACTGGGGACCTGGGTCTCAGGCTCACCCTGCTCCCCCACGGCAGCCCTGCGGAGACAGCGCCTGGGCAGGGCCTGCGGGAGGTAGGCAGCGAAGGACCGGCTGGCTGAGAGCAGGCACTGGCAAAACGTCTGCCTGACCTGACTGAAAAGAGGATCCTTGCCTTTGAGCAGAACCTTGTCTGACCGAATGAAAACTCCCACGGCCATTCTTCCCTATAAAAGCCGCTCATTTGCCACGGGTTGGAGAGCCATTCCCCCACCCCCACTCCCTCTCCGCTGCTGCGTTTGGAATAAACATAAACCTCGTTTATAAAAGAACCCACGTCACACACACACACACACACACACACACACACACACACACCCTCCCCGAAAGCACAGGGCCCAGTTGGTGAAGTTGATCGCGCCTGTGTCCTCCTTCAGTGTAAGAAAAACAAAACAAAACAAAACAAAACATTTCCAGATTGGTGATGCTGTAGGCCTCTTTAATGAAATTGGTCAGAGAGCGGTGAAGAAAAGTCTGCTGTCAACTCCTGGACCCCTCTACCCCTCTCCCAACCCCAACCTCCCAGCTGCCCCCTCCTCCCCTCCTCCTTGCTAGAAACCAAATAAAAAGCAGTTAAAATTACTTTCAAAATAGCCCGCTTCAAAGCGGAACAGAGGACCAGGCTTCGGGAATCCTGAGTCCTGCCTTGATAAGGTTCTCGTAATAATCAAATCCAAACTCCATCCACCTCCCCTGACTCTTTCCAACCTCCTCCGGACCCCTCTGCATTTGTTGATGAAAACACTTTGATGTCCTGAGTCCTCCAAACAATTATTATTATAATTTTAAACAACCTGGTATTTTCCATTACTAACGGCTCGAGCTTTGAAGTTACACCTCATAATTTCCTAAATTAAATAAATCATTTTAAGTTTGCACTGGGAGGCTTTTAATAGCAGAGAAAGGAATATCATTATCTTATTGAGACCCAATTGTGGTGGCTCCAGCATGGCTGTAGCTAGGGGCAAAGTAGGCTCACTCTAACAGACATACTTTATTAACCTCCCATAACTCTTGAAAGAACATTTTTATATTTTCTTTGATTTCCCCCCTCCCTCTCTTGTTTTAAAGCTGTCCCAACCTTTAATTAGTGCCTAATATGAAAAGCATTATTTTTTTAATGCTATGTAATTTACCAGCGGCAACAGGCCAACTTAACAATTGTTTATTAGACTTGGTTTTTCACACAGGGCAAAGAATGCCGCTCCAAACCCAACTTTTCATGGGTGGTTGCACTAATTAATACAGTGTCTGAGGCTCCTAGGGGGTTTTTTAATATTGAAGCCTATGGGGGCGGAAGGGGGTTTTAGAAGTCCAGCTCCTGCCGACGACGTTCTCGCTCTGATTTCTTTCATGCTGTTTTGATCCTGTCTGTGGAGTCAGCACAGACAGAAACTGCTCCCTGGCCCAGGAGACTCCAGGGATCCTGAGACAACAGGCCGGAACCCCAGAACCTCCACTTGTGATTTATGG